CACTGGGGAGGTGGGGAGGCTGGGGAGGTGGGGAGGCTGGGGGGCTGGGGAGGCTGGGGAGTCTGGGAAGGCTGAGGGGCTGGCCAGGCTGGGGGCTGTGCCCTGCGCATGGGGAGTAGACAAGTCTCTTCCCCTCAGGCCCCCATGGCTCACCCAGAATACAAGAAGTGGACCCCAAATCCATCCCCACTGCCCCTCCTGAATTCCTGCCCCGGCCCCACCCTGCCCTCCAGGCCTCGGGCTCCCCACACACTCACAGCCAGAGGGGAAGGGCTTTCTCACAGACCCGCTCTTGCCTTTGAAACCCCTTGGTGGCTCCCTGGTGCTCTACAGGCCATCTCCTGGCACTATAGGCCCTACACCTCCCACCGTGGGCACCTCCTCAGCTCTCCCACAGCCACATCACCTCCTCTCCAAGCCCTCCTCGCATCCTCCCCCTACTCCCCGGGCCAGAGTGTCCCCCTAAGCGCTGTCCAACCTCTGTGCTGGGCTTGCTCAGGGTCCCTCTTCTCAGCCAGGGAGGGACCTCTCTGACTCATCCCAGGTCTGAGTGACCCGGGGCAGGGGACGCGTGGCTCTAATTGAATCCTGATCTCTCCCAAGGCTTCCACAGGACCCTGCTTGAGGATTCGGGCCGCTGCTGGGGCTTGAAGCTCACAAGGCTTCCCTTTGTGGACATGTCTAGTGCTTCTGCTCTCTCAGAAGCTTCTGCCCTGCTGGTACTGCAGGGGACAGGAGAAGGATTGGAGAAAATGACACCTCTCAGAGGGAGTACCAGGGACTGCCACGTCCTGCCAGACACACGTACGTGGAACTGCCCCTAGAACCTCAAGACAGCTTTGCCCCTGCTGGACTGAGGAGAGGCTGGGCCAACCTCGGACCCAGGGAGAGGTACCCATGGCCCTGGGACCTCACGAGGGGAGGAAGCAGAAAGAGATGACCATACCTTGGTGCTGCCACGGAGAGTTGCCAGATTAAAGAAACGGAGGAGAGCAAAAAGAGAGAGACAGCAGTGAGAAGCTTGCTGGGGTTGGCCTGGGAGGGAGAGCGGAGGCCTGCCGCGGACGGCCCCTGCTGCCCCCAGCCTGCCCCACCCCAGAGGTAGGCTCCCTCTCTCACACACCATACACACACACACACACACACCCCACCACCACCACCACCACCACACACCACATACACACCATGCCATACACACCCACGCACCACACACACGTGCGTCCACACGTGCCCGGGCACATACACAGCCCTGCCCTGTCCCTGAGCCGGCCCCAGGACTGTCCCTTGGGGATGCTGATACAAATCCACTCGCTTTCGTCTAAAAGCAAACAAGCCGGCTCTGTGTCTGCAGGCGCATTCGCCTGGAAACGGGCGGCAAGGCCCATCTCTCTGTTTGTTTTTCCAGGGCCTGACGTGTGTAGAACATTCCTCAGGCCCACGAGCCCTAAGGAAACCCTGTGGCCGTCCCCAGCCAGCAGCCAAGCCTCGCCTGGAATCGCCATGTGGGCTGCAGCGCTGGGCGGCCTCCCTCTGTCTGTAATGAGGACGCTCCGTGTCTGCTCCGTGTCTGCCATGCGGAGCCCCTGCCCGTCTGCACTTAAAGGCCAGCTCTGCTGGGAGCGCTCCCCTGTGCAGGCCCGGTGCTGAGCACCCGCCATCCACCATCTCCCTGAGCCCACACCCACCCAAGACACTCATCCTGCTTTGCAGAAGAAGAAACTGAGGCCTATATTTTGCCCAAGATCCCACAGCTGGGAAAGGAAGGGAGCGTGTGCAGGCCTCTGTTAGAATGCCTCCTCTGCTCGGTGGCCTCGAATGGTCCAGTGAAATGGGCAGGGGAAAGAGAATCATCCCGATGGGGAAGCTGAGGCCCCGTGCAGGACAGCGGCTTATTTGAATCTGCTCAGGGGATCTGTGCAGTCAGGACTCGAGCCTCATACTGTGAGCCTGGGACACGGCAGGATGTGGTCAGCACCCAGTCAGTAAGAGGACAGACAGGGGAAGGCTGCCCAGTCTATGTGTGGGGCCTCACACCTGCTGCCTCAGTTGACCTCCCTCTCTCTCTGAAGCAGGGATTTTACCTCTCAGGAAGCCCAGGGAAGCCAGGGGCTTTCCTCAGACCTCCAGGACCCGGAGGCAGGGCCATGATCACAACCCTGGTCTGGTCCTCTCCGTCTGTTCTGAGAAACTTTCCCGCCCATGGAGAGAATCCCACATTCTACAATGCCAGAGGGGAGCTGGGGACATAGCTGGTCCCCTCTGGAAAGCAAGGCCCTGCCCCGCAAGGGGCCTGACCCAAGGGGCCTCTAGGGGCGGGTGCTGGGGTAGCAAACTAGCAACACAGAGCTGCCTGTGGTGTTTATGTGGGGGGCTAGATCCAAGTGGGGTGCTGGGCTTGGCGTCTGCACTTCCCAGGCCTCCCTGGGACCTCTTGGGGAGACGAAGCCCTGAGATAAGCCTGCGGGCTCACTCTGGGCCTGGCCTGACCAAGGCCTTGGGGCTCTGTTCACACACCAAGTGGGGGCCAGAGGCCTGTTGCTTTGGGGCTGGGTCCAGGAAATGCAGTAAGGAGGGAGGGAGGAAGGAGGAGGGACAGGGAAGGTGGCCCGAGAGGCATGGGAGGGTGGGGAAACGGTGCAGGGAGGCCTGGCACTGTCAGTGCTGGCTTATGGCCTCTGGGAGATATAACTGGGGGTGCTGGGGTACAGAGTGTGCCTCTCAGGGCCTGGGCCAGGGTGCCATGGGCCCCTTGGGCTGAAAAGGTGACAAAGGCAGGGAGATTTGCTAGCGCCGCTCCTCACTTCATGTCCGCAGCACAGCCTGTGACAATGAAGCTGAGAAGGGGAGGAGAGCTGGGTTCAGGTTGGGGACGGGGCCCTTCCTTGCCACCCTTACCGCTCTGCTCTGCTGCATCCCCCAAGATGGCTTCCACACCAGCTTTTCCAGCAGAGAGCACTGGACTCGGAGTGGCGCAGCCGGGTTTGCATGCCAGCTCTGCCACACACTTGCTGTGGACAGGGCAGAGGGCTCAGTCTCTCCGAGTCTCAATTTATGAAACGGGGATAATGGGCCCCATCTTGGCTGATCACCAGGATGAAACTGGGGGCAGTGTGTGTGAGACTGTGGGGCTGGATGTGCAGTGTGTCCCCTGCAGGGCCTGGCCTGCCCCCAGGAATATTGCTTCCCTGCTGTTTTCTGTGCACTGAATCTTCTGGGTCTCGGTTTTCCCGGCTCTAAGGTACATGGCTGGCATCAGAGGCCTGCAAGTGCCCTTTCAGCTCTGACCTCTGCTGTCTCATGGCCTCCAACTTACTCTGGAGGGGTCAGCTGCCCTCCTGGGCCCGTTTCCTCCTCATCTGTGAACTGGATGGGCTGAGGGGCATCTACCCAAATCCCCCAGCCCCTGACCCACAGAGTTCCCCAAACACCTTTAGGAAGCATAGAGAAGCCAGCCTGGGGCCTGGACATGGCTCTGCCGCAGACCCCAGTCTCCTGCGGCACATGGGGGCTGGGATCCTCCTGGGGCACGTGCCCCTCACCCAGGGTCTAGTGTAAGGCCCTGGTCTGAGTCAGCTCTGCCACCATCCAGCTGTGCGATGGTGAGCAGGCACTGGCCTCAGGTGTCCCGCTTCCCTAATCTGTCAAATGGCTTAGTGACTGCCCCTGCCTAGAGCGCGGGGTCCGTATGAGATCCTGCGGGGTGAAGTTTTAGGAAGCACTCTATTAACGACACACGGAGGGCTGCCTGGGCAGACACTGGAATAAAGCTGCCGTTATCTACGCCTGGCGCAAACAAGGGAAGGGAGGCGGGAAGGGAGCCAGTATCTGGAGGCCTGGGTCACCCGCAGGAGCCTGGAGTCTTAGGCACTGCCCACCTCTGCTGCTCGCCTGCAGGGCTCAAGGGACAAAGGACTGCCCTGGAGAGTCTCTGACCTGTATCTACGGAGGGGATGGGAAGAGCAGGGAGCAATCTGCTCTGGGCGTGGCTGACAGGTTCCAGGGAGGGGACACAGGAAGGTGAGTGTGCTCCCTCCATGAGGCTGTGCACGGCTCTGGTTCCCAGGCTGGTACCCGTAGGCCAAAGCAGTGCTTCTTAACTGGGGCAGGTTTGCCTCCCCTCACCCCTGGGGACATTTGGCATCAGAGAGTTTTGGTTGTTGCGACTGGGAGTGGGAACATCGCCTCTTCTCTAGTGAAGAGAGGCCAGGGATAACTGCTAAACATTCTAGAATGCAGAGGACGCCATCCGACCCACTGCCCTGCCAAGCATCATCCTGCCCCGAACATCAGCGGCGCTAAAGGGTAAGGCAGGGAGGCAGGGTCTCTGCACTGAATGAGTGGCAAGTGCGCAGCCATCCTCCACCCCGCCCTGGGCCTCTGCCTGCCGGGCCTACCGTGTCTAGGTGGGTGCGCTGGTGCTTGGCGCGGTCGCTGGAGTTGCTGAAGGCCTTCTGGCAGCCCGGGTGCTGGCACAGGTACGGCTTCTCCCCTGTGTGGCTCCTCAGGTGTATCTTGAGGTTCTCCAGCCGTGAGAAGGCCTTGCTGCAGCCTTCAAACTGCAGGAGAGGCTGGTGAGGGGAACTCCCAGCCCGCTGGACACCCCACCCCTGCATGGAAACTAACCCCCTAGGTCTGCCTGGCCCTAGCACCCCTGCCCCTCCCATCCTGCCTGAGCCTCTGGGAGCTCCGGATCAGCCGCCTGTGAAGTGCTCAGGACCCAGGCCTTATCTGGAAACGCCTGGTGAGTCCAGAAAAACAGCACCCCGACTTAGAAATGGGGCACGAGGGCTGGAGAAGAAAGTGGCCTTTCCAGTTCTGAACCTGAAAGGCTCCCCTCTCCAGGGCCATCTGGAAACGATGCACTGCCCTGACCACAGCACAGCGTGGAATCAGGACTCTGAGGGCAGGCACGTGTCCCAGCACAGAGAGCTGAAATATGGACGGACCCACAGCCTGGATCTGAATCGGGCTCTGTTCCAGAGAGGCTTTGGATGGTACTCTGGACCCCTCTGTGCCTTGTTTCCTTGTTTTCAAGCTTGAGACTATGTGGCCACCACTCGAGGCTGACATGAGGGCCCCAGGGGGTAGGACACTGAATGTGGCGGGGTTTGTCGGTCTGGAGCAGAGTCGATGCTAACTGCTGTCAGAACAAGAGCCACATTTGTAAACTGAAGGGCCCTTCATAGATCCTGTGGCTCTGTGATCATATACTGCCCTCCACACCTCTCTTTAGGCCCAGCCCATGCCCTAGATCAACATGGGGAGTTGGCCAGAAAATTTCCAGCCTTTGTTCGTTCAAGTCACTCTTTCACAGCCACCCACCAACCTCCCTCAGCCCTCACAGCCACCCACCAACCTCCCTCAGCCTTCAAAGTCAGCTCAAATGCCGCCCAGCAGAGGCAGCAGCCTCTGGTCCTTCCGTGTGATGAGCTGCTCCTTCTGGCTTCTCCCCATCTGTCCCTGTCCCAGCCAGGCTGATGTTCTGGCCACGTGCTTGCATGGGTGGGAGAGGGGACCAGCGCTGATGGGCGCCTGCTACATCCAGGTGTGGTGCTGGGTGTTGGACACACAACAGCTGTGAAGTATATGGCATTAATGTCCCCATCTCAGAGATGGAGGCTTCATGTGGTCAAGTGACCTGCCCAAGGTCATAGGGCTGTGACATGGCAATGACAGGGCTTAGGCCAAGTCTGATGCCAAAGGCCAAGTGGCTCTGCTATGCCTGCTGCCTTCCTAGGGCAGGTGACTCTTGAGGAGGAAGGGACCAGAGGAGGCTGGCCCCTCTCATGAGCCATGGATTTCCTCCAGGGCTGAACAGTCAACCATGAGCACCTAACCCAGATTAAGGCCCATGGGAGCCCGCCCCTCGGAACCAGGGGCCAGCATGGGCTCCCAGCAGCAGGTGGCCCAGGATGAGCTGGGAGCAGCCATGTTACCCGAGGACTGGCGCTCCCAAAGCCTGCTCCCAAAGCCTCCTTTCTCTGGGGCTCATCTGCGGGGAGTAGCTGGTTGGGTGCCTGGGTGTGGGCTCATTTCAGACCCTGTGATCCACCTGGCTGATTTTCATGGCCTTGGCTCAAGGCTGTTCAGCACATCGAGTAATTTCTGGTGCGAGGCTGTTCATTGGGACAGACTGGCTCCAGTCTACGGTGAGTACCAAAATGCAGACAGAACTCAGACACGGGTCCTGCCCTCTGGGTGTATAGAGCCCATGCGGGAGACGCACACATACACACCATCATAAAGCGACGCGGTTGCGCTGTCACGGAGGGAAACACAGGGGCTGTGGCCACGCAGAGGAGATGCCTAAGCCAGCCAGGGGGCCGCGAGATGCTTCCACGGGCTTGATGACTGTAGCGAGCTTAGATAGACATGCAGCAGTGTGGAGACACAGGCAGGCAGTTACCCCAACACTGATGCATTCGCCTCATTCAGTCTCTGGCCCGGCCTGGGCCCTGAACTGCGACCAACAGATTCAAAGAAGATAGTGGGGTGACTCACACTGAAGGTCAAGGAAGGGCAGGCTGGGAGGCACCAAAGCATGAAAAGGGTACAGATTCCCTGTGAAGATCCCTGAGCGGTTGATGTGGGGTTCATCATGCTGCGGGTGAGCTGGGCTCTACTGGCAGAGTCTGCAGGGAGCTCAGAGGCCAAATAGCAGGGACTCAAATGCCAGGCCAGTGAGCCTGGACTCCACCTTGGGGACAGTGGAGACCCTTCTCCTAAAGAAGGGAAAGGACAAGGTCAGATATGTGCTCTAGGAAGACCCTTCTGGCTGAGGTGACAAGTGGGGACTGGGGAAGGAGAAAGGAAGACGGCAATTGTAGCAGTTCTAGATGAGGGTCACCAAGGCCCCATCCAGGGCAGAGGTGGCAGATGGAGCACAGGCCAGGGGACAGCTGCTCAGACAGACATGAAAGACACAAGTGACACAAGAGACAATGATGGCCCTGGGACAGCTCCCTCCACGCCTGTCCCCTGGAAGCCCAGCCACAACTCAGGGCCATGCTCTGCTGGGGTGAGTCCAAGGCGAGCCGTCCACAGCTGGGTTTTAGAGGCTGTTCTGCTTCCTACTTCCAGATGTTGTGCCTTTTCCATGCATCCAAACCAGAAGGGAATCCTGTTTGGGCAGTAAATAGGCCACAAGCCACCTCCCTTGCTCCCCTGCAATGGCCTTGTGCCAAGCTCATCCCAACGTGAGATGGGGGAGCCCGGGCTAGAGACTGGGCTTCCTCTCGGCATCCAGCTCGTGCCTTTGTTCCTCTCTGGCCCATGCAGGGTGGGGAGGTATCTGCAGCAGAGGGCAATAACCCTCCGGGCTGCATCATTTTCCCGACTAGGGGAGAGTGCTGGATCAGTACATCATCTTCTCCCCAAGGTCTGTGTATTCCTGCCTTGGCTAACCCTCCACTCAGCACAGTTGCTCCTACCCCCAGCCTCTGTTCGGACTGTCCCCCTCCTGGGACTCCTTCCCTTCCAACTCTCTGACAATCTAATGCATACGTTTTTCAAACACAGGATCTGCCACTTGGTGTTCATGGTTTTCCAACATGGACCCAACTGCCTCTCCCATGCAGACGCTCCACACGTGATCTGCAGGAGTGAGACTGTGTCTGAAGAGTACTGAATTCTGTCAGGAATTTCCACGCCCTCAGGCCTTTGCTTCAGCCATTCCCTAGGCCTGGAATGTCTTTCCTTTATTTGCTCATTTAGCAAACATCTACTCCTGTTGCTTAAGCACTCCCTCTGAGATGCCTTCCTCGACCTTCCCCACTCCCTCCTCTGCGACACCCGTGAGCTTGTGGGGTAGGTTTTCCCTGCACAGCCATGGCCTTCTCCCCATGCCCCCAGGCTGAGAGTTTGAGAGTTCCTTGAGGGCAGCGCTGGCATCTCAATCATGGGGCAAAGGGTGGGATAGAAGCATGATATGGGGGTTGCTGGGCATGCGGTCCACGCACCCCTGTGAGTACACCCTCTCACCCCAGTGTGCAGGAAGGTACTTCGATATGTGCATGTGCACTGATGCCCGTGCTGTGCCCATGTATGTTGGCCCAGCCTTGTCCTACTTCCCGCCCCCTGGAACTCTCCAGAGCTGAGCCGCAGGCTGGGGTATAATAAGCAGCTGCCCCGGATGCCCCGATGGGAGTGGCCCGTCCCTCCAGGTGGAAACAGAGATAGCAGCAGATGAAGGGGCACTACCCCGTCAGGACTGGTCTGGGATGAGGATGCTGTAGGCACCCCTGGCAGAGCCAGAGTCATGCCCCACGAGGACCAGCATCCCAGACACGCCAGGGCCTTGAGGGCTTATGGGCTCTGCCTGCAGCTGCCTGCCAAGGTCCCTGTGGTCCTTCCTAGTCAACAACTGCACAGATGGGGACAACACAGGCACAGAGAAAGGGATGGGAGCGATCATCAGTTCAGTCCCTATTGTGTGCTTGGTTCTGCTGGGCCTGTTGCTGTCACAAATGTGGCATGTTATCTTCTCCACCACCAGTAAGCAAATATTACTATCCTCACTGACAGACGGGGAGCTGACGCTCAGGGTGCAGCCAGCACGGGGGTTACACACACGGACCCTGGTGTAGACCCAGCCCAGGGGGCACTCTTTGGGTCCCAGGAGCAGCCTCCAATGAGTGCAAGGTAGCCTTTGGGGTGGGTGTGGCTTGAAGGGGCCCCATCCACCAGCTGTATAGGGCTGAGGGAACTGCAGGGAGGGAACCCCCACCACTGGGTTGTGGGGGCACAGATGCTGCAGAATGGATGCATGGGACTTGTTAGAGCAGAAATGCAGCCATCCAGCACGTCCCTGGCTTCGGACCTTGGTTTCTCAGGGGGAGGGAGAACTTACCTTAAAGTAATGGTACCATGACCGAGGGCATCGTAATGATTCCATGGGGCCTGCACCACAGGGAGTGCCACTGGGACAGGGCCTTCCTGACACCCCAGTCGCCTCAGTCTCTACAGTACATGTGTCCAGGACAGACACCTGCTTCCTGCTGCCAGTGTCCAAGGGTACACTGGACCCCCATTGCAAGGGCTGAGTGCCTCTTTGTGGGGTCAGGGAGGGGCATTGTTCCCCCTGTGCCAGGGGCACTGAACCTGAGCTATGCCACAGGCAGAACTGCCATCTCTCCTAAGAAAAAAAGTGCCTGCAACACGAGGTAAGCCCTGAAAGCCACCTGCACACCCCATCCCTCCACTCCCACCTTACCACCCAACCACCCCAACCCTACTACTGTGCACCCCCCATCCTTCCACTCGCGCACTTCTGGGAGTCACTCACTCATCCTCTCCTCTTTGAGCACACAGGTTCTTATCCTCCTGCCTCGCTCAGCTGCCCCTCTGTGTGCCTGGCAGTGTGCTGGGAGCTGAGACCCAAGGGCATCAAAGACCCACAGCTCCAAACACACTGGAATGTGTTCAGAGCCCTAGGAAGGGGCTGACCCGGGGGCTTCTGGCTGGCAGAGGCTGGGGAGCTACACAGGCCTTCACAGAGGAGCTCAGCCCTGACGCCCAGGCAGGGGCTAGAAACACAGAGCCAGGAAAAGCATTCCAG